GGGGGGGGGGGCGTTTAAACGCAAATGAATTAACAAGCGATGTGGGTGCCGTTAGTGTGTTCTTCAGAAGAATGTCCCCTCTATTTATAAATGAGGAAGTATTGAGCAATTTCGATTGCCATTAATGGTGAATCTGACCTTAAGCTTAAAATAGAAAAAACAAGAGTTGATACTTTTTCTGCTGCATTAATGAAGATGCTGAATACAATACAATGAGGCTGCTAGCATTTGTCCAACGTATATATACTTCTACCTAACAGCTAGGGCTACCCTATAAGGCATTAGATCAACGACTATGATGAGAATATAAAAAGATCTGAGACAGTACAAAATACAGCTCATGCATGAAGGCATGCACACGCAGAAAAAGACAAAAATGACCCTTGTAGGATTTGCTACTTTAAGCCTTCTTTGAATAATTTCTTGATCAATATTAATACTGCTTTCAGGCCCCCTCAATTCGAGCAAGGATGAGGGAAGAACATGCAGTTTGTCCTGAAGCTTTGTGAAGAATTGTGTGGACAAAGGCTTTGTAAATATGTCAGCAATTTGTTCATTTGAGGGAACATGATGAACTTTGATCTTGTTTTCAAGAACCAGATCTCTAACAAAATGAAGATCTATTTCTATGTGTTTCATCCTGGAATGATGTTGACGAGCGTTTTCGGTCAACGGTTAAAATGGAAAATATTAAAAGTGCAGGACCGAAAATAAAGGAAAGATACGGTTTTAATCACAATTTTATTAAATGATCACGCGGTCGACCTCTCGTACGAGGTCGGCACTTGTGATATACTTACGATTCTTACAAGTGGTTTCTTACAATTTTAGAGGGAGAAGTAGAAAGAAGCTAGAGTTAGTTGAGGATTCAACAACCCAAAGTAAATGAAGCAATGGGCTATTTATAGTGTCATTTAATTCTACTGTTTCGGCACTGTTCACGGTCTTGTCGCACAGTGGATCGGTAGCTCTGGTCGGCACTTTTCTGACAGATCATTAAATGTGATTTGAGGTTCTTCAATCATTAACTGCCAAGCATTTAGTGCAGGCATGGGGAGCATTTAATGCTGGTGGGCTTTCTTGTCTAGGCCTGTTTGTAGGGTGGCAGGCTATGACAGCCCGTCCCATCATCGAATGATGGTTTCCCAAGTGGCTAGTATTCTAATAACACCGAGATCGGCACCCGTCTTTTGACGAGACGGTTATGTCTTATCTGATCGTCACTCTTTCCCAGAAGGTTCACATGATACTTGGGAGCCTTCCATCAGAGCGACACTTATGCGAGTCTGGTTCGGCACCCTGTCGAGTAGGGTGCCGGACTCGGAATGTATCCGCGCTGACCCGGGTTGTATAAAATATTTCGACTCAGCTCGGCTCCTGTGCCTTTGATCGGCTCGGCCCCGGTCCAGAAGTCCGCTCCTACCCATTTCACTGGACCGACCCGTTCGGATCAGACCAGGCCGATCCGGATGTCAACATACAGGCCCCCCAGCTCGGAGGTGAGGTCTGCAACGTTTTCTCTGAGGTCGCCACTTAAGCGAATCTGGATTGGCTCAGCTCTCCGGCCTCTCGGGATTACCTAGTCTGTTCGGCACTTTTGCGGTACATAGCTTGATTCAACAAATTTCCAGATAGACATTAATGACGTCAGCCGAAGAGACGTTTATTTAATGCAACGCGACGATTACTTTCTTCTCGGTTACGAAAAGTCATGCCGCTTTTATCGTGGCCTATGTGGCGGACACATGTCATCGCCCCATTAAATTCCCAGAAGGTCGTATGCGTCTGTTGGCGGCGGTTTCGCCTTTTCAAATTTTTGAATTTTGAATTCGTTACACGTGTTGAATTCTGATTGGGGCCAAATCCTTATAAATTAAACCCCTTGGTCGTTTTTTTTCTTCTTCTTCTTCTTACACAATTTCGATTTTCTTGGCTTTTCGAGGAAGAGACTTTCAAGCAATTTTCAGACGGACTTTTCTTTTCCTTACGGTAATTTCCCCAATTTTTGACTTAGTTCTTACTTTCTTTTCGATCATGTCTTCATCCTCCAAACCTGGATCTGGTGCCGGCGCGTCCGGGGAGGATACCGGCTCTTCCGGCGATTTATCCTTGCCGTCGACGAGCAAGCTCATACTTTATTCTCTGATGTCGGCCGAGAGGGCTCTTGCCGAGGCGGTGCCGATTTCCATGGTTCGCCCAAGTTCTCCTCCAGCCGATCTGAACCCTAGCGAGGGTCATGACGTCGGGCAGGACCTAAACCAAACCGCGGGAGCT